TAGGTAACTTTTAAAATATAAAAATGTTTATCCATGTGACATCAAAAGTGTTCATCTCACCTCCTTCGGTGGACCACATATCATTGTTGGGAGAATACTGGCGGTCAGAGCATTTCTTTTGTGCTTTCCTCCTTTCTCTCTCTAGAGTTATTACAGAGAGAAGTGTTCTTAATTTCAAAGGACTTACCCCGCTTCCTTCGTTTGTCTTCATGGAATACCAGACTTTAATTCACTCGCAGCTCATCCAAGGTTGAGTATTCCTTGGGCCTTTCCTGGTGGTCCAGTAGTCCAGCGCACAGGGCATGGGTTTGATACCTGGTCAGGAAACTAAGATCCTGCATGCCACATGGCCAAAATAAGTAAATAAAAGCTTGAGTGTACCTTGACCCAGCCCGTTTTCTGCATTTACTGGTAAGGGAAATGACTGAAGTTAAAGAAACAGCTGTGTGTCATAGCACGCGGTAATCATGGAACTCAGCAAGTGAACTTAGCTGCGTTCTTGGGGTCCAGCCTCTTCAGGCCTCTGGGAGACTCACTGAGGTTCGAATGGAAGCAGGGCTGAAAGGACTCTAGAGAAAAGCTTACCCTCTTACAAATGGGGAGACGGAGGGGCAGAGTGGTATACCTCAGATGGTACTTTCAGCTGGTATCACACTGGCCACATTGCCTGCCTCCCCAGACTTCTGCTACATTTATCGCACACCCTCAGAAGCCTGGTAAGGCAGGTCTCCTGCTAGGAATCACAGAAGCCTGCTGTTAGAAATGGCTGCTTTCGACCTCAGCCAAGGTCTGAGATCACTGGTGTGACACCCCAGGAATGACAGAAATGTGTCCAGTTCACGTACATAAGACCACTCATGACCTGGAGCCCCTTTACTGCTTAGGGGAAGAGATGGTGATGGACAGGGCCGTCTGGCATACCGCTGTCCGTGGCGTCACAGAGAGTCGGACACGACTGAGCAGCTAAACGGCAGCAGCAGCTGGCTATAACATAATTCTAAAGTACTGATGGTCTGATGGTGCTCTGATAGCCGGTAGCCCTGCTCAGGGAACTTCTGTTCTAGAAACCAAATTCAGAATCATCCCCACAGACTACCTCTTACAGCTCTAATGAGTAGCCTTGAAATGTCCCCATGATCCTACAACAAGGGGAACCCAGGCAAAACGCCAGGTGCAAATTCTGAAGCTCTGAGTCCTAATCTTGAGTTTGGACTGAAAGGTTTTAATAAAACCCTAATGACTGATCACAAATTTTGAGTCTCTCTTGCCTTAAATGTGACTTGCAAATGTCACAACTACCAACCAACAATTCAGAAACCATTTAGTGTTTTCTATGCTCTGGCAGGCTTAGGGAAACAAGGATAAATGGGAGCAGGGGGTGGTCTCTGCTCTGGAGGGATTCACACACCAGTGGAACAAGCCAACCCATAGCACCTCCTCCATGAAGCTCTCCCAGACTCTCGGGAGAATCAGGAGATCCCAATCCTTGGGTCTCCTGGGAGCATGCACTGCCCTCTACAACCTTGACATTGCTTCTGTGCTGTGTTTTGAGGTCTGCTGGCTCTTTGAACAGTGAGTTCCTAAAGGGCATAGGCTATATTCCCAGTGCCTGGTGTAAGGAGGTGGCCCTCCAAATGCTTTTATAAAAAGGGAAGTTGGGACAGTGTCCTGGGGAAGCAGAGTAGGTAAAAATACCAGGTGATGAGATGCAAACTGGGTAGTTCATTCAGCCCGAGGGTCTCAGGGAGCTTGACAAAGGATGAAGCCATTTGAGCTGGGGTTTGAAAGACAGGAGTTTCTAGGAGCCATCTGGGGACAGCCTGGGAAGTGATTATGTATCCGTCACACATACAGCGTGTGAGCCCCTTCTTGCACCTGACAACCTTCCTGAAGGAAACACACATCTTTGATTGGCCTACATATTTCTCTTAGACAAGTCAGGTGTCTGGCTAACTCTGGATCAGTCCCTAACTGGTTAGTAACAACTGATTTCTAGCTGTGCATGTTAAGATTTAAAATTACACAGAAATGCTAGGCAGGGGCATTTCTTGTCCAAATATTTCAGGCAAGCTTTATAAGAGTTCCAGGGAATGTGTGGGAGCAGAGAAGTCACACTGATGCATGTGCTTCTGCTCAGTAGGGAGTAGTTCTGAAACTTCTTTAGAAAAGAAGAGCAAACCTCTGATCCCTATTTGCTATAGCTCCTGTAAGGACATTGTTGCAATCTGCCCCGCCCTACTCAAAGCCCCTTTTCTTTAGGACTTCTTTTCTACCAAGAGATAAAATGTATGCATTAATTATATTATTATCTGTTCCTCCCTGCTAGAGTGTAACCTCCATGAAGGCAGGGATCTCAGTGGTGTCATTGATGTATCCCAGTGCCTAGAACAATGTGTGGCATATATTTTAAAAAAATAATTATTTTTGGCTGCCCTGGGTCTTTTTTGTGACACATGGGCTCTTCATTGCTGTCCTCAGGCTGTCTCTGGTTGTGGCAAATGGGGAATACTCTCTAATTGCGGTGTGCGGGCTTCTCATTGCAGTGTCTTCTCATGTTGCGGAGCACGAGGCCTGGGGCCTGGGGGCTTCAGAAGTGCAGCAGGAGGGCTCTCTAGCTGTGGCTCGAGTTCAGTTGCCCCACCGCATGTGGAATCTTAGTTCCCAGATCACGGAGGGAACCCGTGTCCCCTGCATTGGTAGAGGGATTCTTAACTACTGGGCCACCAGGGACGACCCATCTTTGAATGTTGATATGAATGAATATACTGAATGTATGAATACATATACTGAATGTACGAATGAATGAATACTTCTGCCCCAGATCTGAGCCCAAGTAAAGGGAAGGACTGCGGTCCTGAGAGAGTGGAACTCGCGATTGGAGGGTCACTGCTGCCCCCCAGGGAGCTGGCCTCCATGGCATAGGCTGCCTCCTTCCAGTGGCTGGGCTGGTTTGTCCCCCACCATGGACATCATGAGTATACTCAAGCGGTAGAAGAGGTAGATGCCCTGAAGTCCTCTGGTCATCTAAGTGGCTGTTGTTTAAATGTGTTCTTTATCCCAGGAGTTAGCTGGGATGCAGTCCCAAAGACCACTGTGTCAGGAGACCTGAGTCCAAATCCCACACTGGACCGTCTCCAGTGGTGTGATGGAGGGTTAGTCATTAGCTCTCTCCAAGCCTCAGTCTCCCCACTCGTCAGACGGGGGCAGTGAGCCTCTCTTCTTAGCGTGCCTAGCAGGATACCTTCTGACGCCCGGGAGGCCCTCCACGAGCAGCGTGTCCCACCCGAGGAGACCCTCCAAGGGGCGGGCAGTGTGGGTGGGTTCCGTGAGCCCATTTCCCAGCCAGTCCCCAGCTCTCCCCAGGAAAAGATCCAGCAATGCGCCTTGCGTTTTGTAAGGGAGGATCATACAGCAGCCCCCGCTCCTAAACCCGAATCCCCGGGAAGTCAGGAAGATGTATGTGTTTTAAAACATTGGGAGGTCTGCGTTGGATCACCCCGGAGCCGCGGCTTCCCCCCGCACCCCCCCACCCCGCACCCCCCTGGAGCAGCTGAGAGGGAAGAGAGGCCAGTCCGTCTGCCGGGAGTGCTCCCGGCTCGTGTCCCACAAGGGGCTGCCTTCGCTCGGGCTTGGCGGCCGTTGACTTTTAAATCATAAAAAGCCGCTCTTATATACAGTTTACTCTGCTGCTCAGAGGCAGTGGAACGTAGGTATTTAAAAAGGGAAAAAAAAAAAAAGGCAGAAGAAGCAGCCGTTAATCCCGCCAGGCTTCTGGCCACTGGAGCAGTTGCGGATGACAAAAGTTAATTAGAAACATGAGCAGTTTAACCGAAAACACTTGTGACAATCGGAAGGACAGCCTCTCGGGTTGGAGAAGTTTTCCTAGGGAATCGTTGCGGGAGAAAGTGACTGCAGCCGGGTAAGTCATGTCCCTGTGACTTTGCGGGGTGTTGGGGGGGGGACAGGCTCTTTGGGGCCGAGGTGCTGCACCCCGTCTGCGCTGGGCGGGCGTGGTCGTGGGTGGGCGCGGGGATGGGCTCACAGCCGTGTCCCGGCCCCCTTCCCTCTGACAGCTGCCCCTACGCGGAGGATGGCGCTGTGTGGCTCTGCCTGCCGCCTGAGCAAGAGAGCTCTGGCGTTCGGGTCATCAATCTGGGCTGCCTCAGTGCCTAGCAGAGGGCCAGTTTGGAACCCGCCCGTCTCAGAATAATTCCAGTTCTAATTTGGAAATATTTTGAGGCTTTTCTGAGAAAAGGGGCTGGCTGGGGAACTACACCCTGTGTGCCAAGGGGGAAGCCTTGACTTTCAGATAACCTGCGTGTTTTCCTGCTGACGGTGAAGCCTCGTGCTCAGTTCATGCTCTTAAGCTCGAAAGCCTTTTTTAAAACTCCAGCCTGCATCACGTTCGTAAAAGTACCAACATAGGGAAAACGTATATGCTTTGATGGGATTTAGCAATTTCTGTAGGTAATTACGTCTGTCAAGGTTATCCTTAATTTCTCTTTTATCTGGATTTTTTTTTTTTTTTGGAATCTGTTCTGTGTTCATGTCTCTGGTACATTGTCTTCTTAAAGCTGGATAATCCTCCATTGTTTCCCTTTAGTTGGAAAACCAGGTTATGGGTTGAATCATTCAAGACAGGAGATATTTCTTGTATCATTCCCGCATAATCACAGCTGGTGGTGTGGATTTTTGTTTGTTTTCTAGTGAAGTGTGTGCCTAATTGTGCCACGTGCGTGTGGATGTTAAGGTCGGTGTGCATTCACATAGCATATGCCAAAATGTGCAGGGGTGGGGTGGGGGTGTGGGGGAGGATGTGAACAGCGCCTGATGGAGAGTAGGAGAAAGTCAAGGTGGAATTTAAATTGAGACACAGGTAGTGGAGCTGCGTGGCATCCGCGTTGGAGCCATTGGCCCTGGAGCCGTGGCCGATGCCCCCTCGTGACCAGTGCAGGTCCATGCATGAAACTCAGGTCTCCCTCTCTTTCCCATCTCCGCAGAGCCTTTGGCGAGCCCGTCATCCTCCCACCCCGCAATGAGCGAAGATGCACCCGCTGCTTTGGAGGGAGGCGGCGGCTGTGGCCCTGCTAGCTGCGGCGCTTCCTCGGCCATCCCCCAGCCCGGCTCGGGCTCCAAGCCCTGGCGCAGCAAGTCGGTCAGCGTGAAGCACAGCGCGGCGGCCGCCGCGCTCTCCGCCAAGCCGCCCACGCCCGAGCCCCCCCGGCCCGCCCCTGAAGCCCTGAAGCCGGCCCCCAACAATCAGAGGTCCATGCTGGAGAAACTAAAACTTTTCAACAGCAAGGGGGCTTCCAAGGCGGGCGAGGGCCCGGGGTCTCGGGACACGAGCTGCGAGCGGCTGGAGATCCTGCCCAGCTTCGAGGAGAGCGAAGAGATGGAGGCGGGCGGCCGCCCGCTGTCCGTGGCCGGCCCCCCGTCCAACAGCCCCAAGATCGCCCTCAAGGGCATCGCCCAGAGGACTTTCAGCCGGGCGCTGACCAACAAGAAGAGCTCCCCGAAAGGCAGCGAGAAGGAAAAGGAGAAACAACAGCGCGAGAAGGAGAAGGAAAAAAGCAAGGACCTCACCAAGAGAGCCTCGGTGACGGAGAGGCCGGACCTCAAAGAGGGCCCAAGAGAAGACCCCAGTGGGGCCGCCGTGACCGAGATGCCCAAAAAGTCCTCCAAGATCGCCAGCTTCATCCCCAAAGGGGGGAAGCTCAACAGTGCCAAGAAGGAGGCCCCGGCCCCTTCCCACAGCGGGATACCAAAACCAGGGATGAAGAGCGTGCCCGGGAAATCCCCAAGTGCCCCCACGCCTTGCAAGGACGGGGAGCGGGCCCGGGGTGGGAAGCCGAGCTCGGGGCTCCCCCAGCAGAAGCCCCCGCTGGACGGCAGGCACTCCAGCTCCTCCTCCAGCCTGGCGTCCTCAGAAGGAAAAGGCCCCGGAGGGGCCGGCCTGAACCACAGCATCAGCAGCCAGACGGTCAGTGCGTCCGTGGGGAGCACGCAGACCACAGGAAGCAATACTGTCAGTGTTCAGCTACCTCAGCCCCAGCAGCAATACAGCCACCCCAACACGGCCACCGTGGCGCCTTTCCTGTTCAGGTAGGAGCGGCTGCCCGCCTCCCGGTCCTGCCCAGCGCTGGCAAGGGGTCTTCGGGGGCAGGGGTTGGGACTGCCCCCGGGAGCATTGAGGCAGACAGCTCAGGGGCCATGTGATCAGCTCCTAATAGAGACGTTGGCGGTGTGCTTGAGGGACAGTTAATTCAGCGCTGCCGGATCGTGGGGGTAGGTTAGGAAGCTACAGGGTGGAAGGACAATGTGAGTGATCTTAAGATGCAGAGGCATGGCCCTGGCACACGGGGACCCAGGGACTTGGCAGAAGCAGCCTCAACAGTTGCTAGGAGGGTGGTTTGGTTTCCCTTGACAGGCTCCGAGGTCAGTCCTAAAGCATCCTGAATGTACTTTAAACAATGAAACACAAAACCACCTTGCTGAGCAACTGAGACTTCTCACAGAGAAGCTTATCTTGAACTTTCAGATCCTCACGGTTTGTTACCCCATTGCACGTATTTTTTTTCTTTTCTTCTAAAACATTTTCTTTTATTTTTATTTTTTGGCCACACTGTGTGGATTTGCAGGTTCCCCCACTGGGGATTAAATCCAGGCCACAGCAGTGAAAGCCCAGAATTCTAACCACTAGGCAACCAGGGAACTCAAATGTTTTTTCAGTCTCTGCTATGTGCTGGGATTTTTCAGAGGGGAGAACAGGATGAGGGAGAAGGGTAGCCATAAGGAAGGACTAGTTCTAGAAAAACTGAAGAACCTGGGTTGTATTTGGAGTGACAAGCCTGAGTGTTTCCACCATCAGTCCCTCTGCCTGTCGCTGATGGCACATCCCGGGAACCACAGGGAGCCAGCTGCTGTTGCTCTGGGTGGTTGTGGCCTATGAGAGCCTCTGGTTACACCCCACACCTGTACAGGATGGGGGTCATCGGCTTTGTATGATGCTTGGTTCTTGCGATGAGTCCTGTCTGGGCAGATGGAAGCCACCCAGCCCTGCTCTTGGGGGGGTCCCAGAGCCCTGTTCACAGTGCTCGGCTTGATCCTGTGCTCGAGACCTGCCGGGCAACTGGCCATTCTGCACAGCTGAGTGATAACTAAGACCCATCCATAGCACCAGGGGGACAGATGGTTCAGTATCACAGCCCAGGCACTTACTCTGCAGCCTCTACCCTAAGTATATACATGTACAGACATAAGCATGCATCCACGGGTGTGAGTGCACACGGACAGTCACACGTAAGTAAGGACACAGGACCACATTCATACATGAAATGTAAATGCACCTATGCATGTATTCACACGTGTGTTTACATACCTGGTCGTATGCACAGGCTCCTGCCCATACTTTCCGCTTCCTCAGTCTACGTGGTTCCCCAGGGAATTAGATGTTTCCTCTCTGTCTGCCGGAAGTGAGTTCTAGTTCTGTTACCATTCCTGCCAAGAGTTGTTAGGAAGACTGGTTCAAGCGATTGATTTCAGAGTCAAGCCCACAGCATCCAGCCAGTGAGGGAAAGAAAGTCAGGCTTCTGAGGAGAAGCTCTTTCCTGTTCCTTGTTCACTCTCCCCTTCAGGGAGGGTCACACCAGACCTTTTTAAATGGGAGGTGGTCATCTTTGTATTAAATTAAGTCATCAGCTCAGCTAACAGTCCTGAGAAGGGTGCCAAGGCTTAGATAATGATTCAGCACTGATCTCCATGTTCAACTTTTAATACAACTGTTTTCTGAACCGTGGAGACAACTGAATTGCTTGCTGTGAAATTTTTATCATTGTGGTCACATGGATAGTCTTGAGGTCAGGCATATCCGGGCTACTGTTTCCAGATTCTTGATTTGCATTTTTATTACATATGTGACAATCTGATCATGGTCAATTCCACTCTCTCCTTTTTTTTTCTGGGCTGTAATCACTTGAAAGATTCTAAAACTTTTAACCTCTGTTGTTGTTGTTTTTTAATATTTCTATGAGATTTTTCTATGACAGGAAAAACTCTTAATGGTAAAGAGCTAAAGTCCAACAGATGGGAGGGAGAAAGCATCCCGTGTGTTGAACTGCGCTCTAGTATTTGTGTTCACCCCGTGTGATGTCCTTGTTCCTCCTCTGAGGTGCCTTTCCTCTGGGTGAACCCAGGAGGAGGCCGCAGAGAAGAGCCCTGGGATAGGAGTCAGGTTGCCTGACTCGGTCTTTTATTCGCTCGTGCGTCCCTGTGTGGCCTTGGGACCTGGCTGCAGACACCACTGCTGAGTGTCCACCACGTGTGTGCAGAAACTCAGATCACTGGGTTCTCACAACTCCATAAGCTACCTCTTTTATCCCCATTCTTCCGATGAGCAAACTGAGGCCTAGAATAATTAAATAACTTGCTCTACATCAAAGAGCTGGTGGTCAGAAGAGCTCGTGTTTATAGCCAAGTCTGTCTACCTCGAGGGACCAAGTGCTTAGCCATGCAATAGTCTTGACTCTAAATCACTGCCTTGTGCTGAGCCTCACCTGTAAGTTGAGGAGACAGGGCTAGAACAGAGGATTTTAGAAAGTGGTTTAGACTCCATTTATGCTCTAGGTTCTCTCTTTCAAGTTTATGGCTCACTGTTACTTAACAGTGCTCCCCCTGGAACCTCTCATGTTAGTGATGTTACCAAGAGAAAAAGGAAAATAAATCTTTTTTTTAAAATCACTGGGAATGAACTATAGTTACCAATTCAGAAGACACACTGGACACCTCTGTTGCTTTATACTTCGCTGAGTGCGTTTGTGTGGTCTTGCCTGTGGTTTTCGTAGCAGCCAGGGGAGGTCGCTGTTGTAACCCTGTGTCCACATAAGGGCCCCTGCTGCTTACAAGGTGCATTGATTTACTGAGATGTGTGTGGCTGCAGACTCCAGCCAGCTCAATGTTCAGACCTCCAAGTCCAATGCTCCTTCTCCCACCCAGAATCCTTCTAGACTTAAAAACTCATTTATCCATTCAGCACACCCTACCTGAGTGCCTGCTTAGCATGTGAATTGGAACAGTGTTCTTAACTGCACACATCAAAAGAGCCAGTCTTAGCCTTCAGAGAGCTCTTAATCTAGTGGAGGAAAGGTTTGTTAATTAGATCTTATTGTAATAAATAGACATCAGGAGAACAGAAACGCACAAGAGGTGGAGCCATTCACCTCCGCTGGCCAAGAATTGGGGAGAGCCTTCAAACCAAGATGACACGGGGACGGTGCCTTCAAGGCAGATCAGGAGGAGACTAAGGAAGAAGGAGAAAAAGAGCCTTCAGTCAGAGGTCACAGTGACTACAAAGACAAAATTGTGAAGGGCTGGGTACGAGCTGGGACTGGAGAGAAGCCACGTGTGGGTGGAGCACAGGGCTGGGCCGTGCGTAAAGGCAGGAGTGCCAGGAGACGGGCTGGAAATGAGGGAGGAAGAATCCTGTGATGCAGGCATCTCCTGTTACAATAAGAACGTTAGATCTTATTCTGCACACAACGGAAAACCATTAGAGGCCTTTAATCAAAACATGAAAGATCACATCAGGGTCACTGAGGTCAGTGGAGAATAGAATGGGGAGTGGACAAGACCTGGGAACAGTCTGAAACAGAGATCACAGTTCAGGTGCCTGCTTGGGCCCGCAAAGGTGACACCACCGAAGTAGCACCCTGAGTGGTTCGGGGTGACTGGGACTCCGGGAAAGGGAACCTCACGCCGCCGCAGAGGGGACCGCCACCACATTTCACCAGCAGGTGGCGCCCTGCAAGAACGTGAGCTCCGTCCTTCCAGACTTGTTTTTACTGAGAAAAAGACAGAAATCCAGATTTTTTTTGGTGACCTCTCTCTAGTTTTAAATGTGGACATGAATTCAAAAGCTTTAAAAGATACTAGGCAGACCAGTAAGAATCAATCCGTGGGCTGGTTTCTGTACCTGGCTGTCATTTGTAAGCTCTATGGCTAGAGGCCATATACCTGTTCACCAGCCTGGGCAGAGATGGCGCAAGCTTGGATTCTGGTCAAAGGAAAGAGAGGAACACAGATAGCATGGAAATCCTTTAAATTCAGAGATGATGGGAATGGGGAACCGATGGCGTCAGTAGGAAGGCAAAGGTGGGGGGAGTAGAGATGGATGGTGTGGGGGTTATCGGTACATCCCCCACAGTCTTTAGGCAGTTCACATTCTTGGCAAACACTTTCTTCATAGAGAGTGAAATCTGGTTGAATTAGCTAAGGATGCCGATGAATTAATAACATTACACCCAGGGTTATGTCTGCGAATGTAATTATATTTGCCTGGCACGCCTGAATAAGCAGAGGTAATTGTGGCTAGAGCACATTGCTTGATTGTCTCGATTTGCTTGACAAATAAGGGCATGGAGAAGGTTTAGGGAAATACAGATTTCAGTCAAGTGTTGAAATAATGATCAGTGAGACCTTTCATCTCAGGAGATCTGAGCTCTGAATCAGACCTGGAGGGCAAACACACCTGCTTGGCACCCACTCCTGGCCGGCTGTACAGTCACCTCTCCAGAGACAGCCGCATAAGGAGGATCTGGGGAGGGGTTGGCGCATGGGGGCTGCCAATGGAATCATCTTCATGCTTGACTTGCTGGCATCACTGGTTACTTAGAAGTGGCTCTTTGGCACAGGTTAAATGATCCAAACCACCGGGCACTTGCTGGCTAGATCTAGCTCCCCAAAGGGGACACAGAGACGCGTTCCCCAGTGAAGGATTGCAGACCCTCCATTTGGGTGATGAATATTTCATCTTTTACACTTCGGTGGCTCTCTCTGTTTCTGGGACATCGCTCCACGTGCCCTGGTGAATTATTTAGTGTCTGTCTGCTGGTCTGCTCTGTTCTAAAGCTTCTCACCAAAGGAGGGGCTCATGGGGGCTGTGATTGGAGTGCGGTGCTCCAGAGGGGTAGTTACCGCTCGTGACAAGTGTGTCTGCTCTGCTTTGTGTGTGAAGGTCCCAGACAGACACCGAAGGGAATGTTACTGCCGAATCCAGCTCAGGGGGTGTGACCGTGGAGCCCAGCCACTACACCAAGAGTGGACAGCCCGCCCTGGAGGAACTCACTGGTGAGTACGGAGCCCTGGAACTCCCCTGTCTCTGGGAGGTGAGGCCTCCCAAGCAACCACCACTGGAAGGGCCGAACCCAGCTGGACGTGAAGTTGCTTCACTGTTGCTTTGATTGATGAGCCAAACTGATTTCCATCTTCCTGCTTCCTTCTCTTTTTTCCCTCTTCTCTCTCACGGTCTGTTCCCTCCTTCCAGGACTATAAAAAGTCTTTTACCTGTTGGTGAGTTCTGCTTTAAGCCATACTCCGCCCCACTCATGCAGGGGCTCTGGGCTCGGGACACTTCACTTAGAATCTCCTTGTTCACTCTTCAGATAGAGTTGCTTTCCAAAAAGAGTTAGAACTCTAAAACATATTGGCTTTTTTCAAATTTCCTTTCTAGAAGCACTGATTGAAAATTGTTCTGAGCATCCTCAGACAGTTGGAAAGAAGATTTCAGCATATTTATTTTACCAAAAACAAAAGTCTAATTTATTTAAATGTAACCTAGACAAGGAGCGGCTTCCCTGATCACTCGGATGGTTTTAAGGAGTCTGCCTGCAGTGTGCGAGACCGGGGTTTGATCCCCAGTTCGGGAAGATCCCCTGGAGAAGGGAATGGCAACCCACTCCAATATTCTTGCTTGGAGAATCCCATGAACAGAGGAGCCTGGCGGGCTACAGTCCGTAGGGTCGCAAACAGTCAGACACAAGTGAGCGACTAACACTTTCACTAGACAGGAATGATGATTAAAGGATGAAATATCATATAAAAACATAAAATCTGCAATTGTCATACAGTTAATTCCACAAATGTTTATTGGTGTTATACCATCACAGTGTTCACTTAAAGAAATAGAAGTAGCATCAGAATTGAATTCCTGCTGCAGTGCGTTCTGGGCCACCACTTTCTCCGTGCCTTATCCCGGTTCCCAGCTCTGTGCCCTGGGTTGCAGCAACTTCTAATCAGGGAAGTGAGTGGTAAGCCACATATTTAGCAGTGGCTGTTATTCTTTGCATATCATACAACTTCCGGGTTGGGTTAAAAACTGACTCCGTGTTTGAAATCCATTTATTAGACTAAGTATCCGTGACCCCACCATTTTAATAGCCACGGCACAGCAGTGGAGTTGGTATGTAGCCATATGATCAACTCGTCCACCCATTTGATCATTAACTCTGAGTGTTCATTTCAGAGGATCTGAGAGGTTTAGCTCTTTCCCTCTGGCTCTGCTGGCTGGGCAGGTTGAGGAGACAGAGAAGTTTCCAGCCATTTGTAAGTGATCCCTCTTGCAGTGGTTTGGGGCCCCACATTTGGGATTGATTTTACGTTTCCTTCTCTCTCAGGTTTTAGCTCCCTTGCATGTGAGAACCTGGATGGTGCGGGAAAAGGGTCAGCTCTCAGGAGAAGGGTATGGAGGTTAATCACTCCTCAGGTCTCCACACACATTCCAGATCGTGTTCATATGTACACACATCAAAAGAGCCAGGCCAGTGATTCAGCAGCTGGCATGGGTCAGATGTATGTCTTGTGGAGGAGTATGGATTCATGTCAGACCCAGGGGCTCGGTGAAATTTACATCTGAGAAGTGAAAGCGGCAGCCGGAGACCATTCCACATAACACTTAAATTTCAGAGGGACGGATGGCAGCCTGTGATCTTTTCAGTCCTTTTTCTTTTTCTCCCCATGTCTCCTGAGCATCAGGACAGTAACCAAGTGAGAGCTCAGAAAGCCTGAGATGCTGTCAGTGGGTTTGGGGACCAGAACTGTGCAGCCAGTCTTGGCTAATCAAGCACTCTTCAGTGTGAAGTCGAAGGGTTTTAGTCTCTAAGGAAACTTTCTGAATCAAGATGACTTTTCTTTACATTTAAGCGGTGAAACCCACACGTGTGGCTGTGTTGTATGTGAATAGTCTTATGCAGACATTGCACAGTACCGTGTGTGTATGAGGTTGAATCCAGCTTATCTACAGCTGATCCCTTGAAATGACAACAAATGTGTGTGTCTGGGAGTTGCCACTTACAAGACTCTTCGATCAGTTGCTTAGTTCTTTCTCCTTACTTATGCAAGTAGGTGGATTGTCCCATGGTGCTCTGTCATTCACACACAGTTACAGGTGAGATGTGCACCTCAGATTGTAGCGTCGGAAGGAACCACATCCACTTATTATCCAGTCCGTGAATCCCTTCTGTCACTCACTGATGAGTTGTCTTTCAGTCTCTACTGGAATACTTCTTGTGATGGAAAAGCTATTCCTTCATGAGGCAGCGCTTCTATACCTATTTGGTTTTAACTGCTAATGGAGTCTTTTATCCTTCCATTTCTAAATCACTGGACATAATCCAGCCTCTGAAGCTCATGGACAGTTTGCATTCCTTTCCTGCAGCAGGGTGTCCCCTAGTTTCCCTCTTCCAAGTAAAAACTCCCAGTTCCATCCGTGCTCCTCATGTTAACACCCTGCCATCCTCAAGTCTGCTCTGTGTGATCAGAACGTGGTGTTCTGTCCATCATAGCGGTGTGATCAGAACGTGGTGTTCTGTCCATCATAGCGGTGTGATCAGAACGTGGGGTTCTGTCCATCATAGCGGTGTGATCAGAACATGGGGTTCTGTCCATCAGCGCCTGGCTTGCGGGAGGGCTGCCCTGGGCGGGTGAGGAGAGTCACAGGTAAACATGGAATAGTTCATAGTATATGGGCTTCAGGGGCCCAGTCGTTTCCCTTGGGGCACGCTGTGTGTTTATTTTGTTCAGACAGTGAGTTGGGACGGAGATCTTATACTCCTAAGCCCATCTTCCAGCATGCAGAATGGGCAGTTTAGAATATCATCATCTGAGCAAGGCAGGTGGATTACTGGTCTGTGCTTCTACATTGCGTTTGAATCTTCGAGGGGAGCAAACACTTCCCAGTGGGACTCCTCAGGGGAAACATTCAAATTCAATGAGCCCTACATTTAAGCAGTGCAACTTAGGTGTGTGGTTGCATCATGTGTGTGACTGTACGGTGAATAATAATTATGGGGACACTACATAGTAGCTTGTATGTATAAGGTTGAATCTAGCTTATCTACAGCTAATTCCTTTAAATGACAACAAATGGGTGTATTTAGGGATGGACATTTATGGGACTATTTGATCAATTGCTTAGGGATATCATGTGTCATCTCATCTGATCCTTCTAACCTAAGGGAACGGCTTTTATCCCCATTTTACAGATGACATTCAGAGAGGATAAGTGATTTGTCCAAGATCAAGTGGCTAATAAGTGGCAATGCCACCATGCAAACTTTTATCTGTTGGAGTGAAAAATCTATCCTTTCTCTTTCACCCTACGCTGACCAAACATTTTGGGGGCAATAAATATTTCTTGAGCATATCTAGATTTGTGTGGGGGTTACCAAGAATAAAGGTGAGTTCACTCTGTGTCAAAGACCTTTGTCTTAGGAGACTTAACACAGGCAAATGTGTCATTAAGATGTCATTAGAGACGTGGACATATACAGACCTGCCTCAGAGATATTGCCAGTTTGGTTCTAGATCACTGCAGTGAAATAAAGACTGCAAGAAGGCAAGTCACTCAAATTTTTTTTGGTTTCCCAGTGCACTTCTCTGGTAGCTCAGAGGGTTAAGAACCCACCTGCCAATGCAGGAGATGCAGGTTCGATTCCAGGCATGATGACCTGGAGAAGGAAATGGCTACCCACTCTAATATTCTCGCCTGGGAAATCCCATGGACAGAACTGCCTGGCTGGCCACAGTCCACAGGGTCGCAAAAGAGTCAGACACGACTGAGCAACTAAACAACAGAACATGAAAAGCTATGTTTACACTATATGGTAGTCTATTAAGTATGCAGTAACATTATGTCTAAAAAAAAACAACGTACTTTTTTGAACAACGTACCTAATTGAAAAATACTTCATTGCTAAAAAATGCCAACCATTGTCTGAACCTTCGGTGAGTCATAGTCTTTTTGCTGGTGGAGGGGTGGAAATATTGGCAGAATTACCGAAGTGTGACACAGAGACAGAAATGAGTGAGTGCCATTGGAAAAATAGAGCCGACGCACTTGGTCGAAGCAGGGTTGCCGCAAACCTTCAGTCTGTAGAGATCACAATATCAAAGCACAATAGAACAAGGTATGCTGTAAATATAGTTATTACACCGTTGTGCATGATTAAGTTAATTAATGAAGGTAATTTGAAAACTGGTGCCTAGACTTAGCTTCATAATAAATGTTCCCTGCAGGGCCTGGAGCCATCCAAAGGATCAGTACCTTTTTTTGGCAGCCTTTACACAGATAAAATGTGGCCAAACTGGCAGTAAAAGATATTTAATTGATGGCCCTGTGGATAGATGCAATTACGTTCCTCCAAAGCCATTAGGGGAAGGTAAAGCAGACATTCATCACTGCTTTCGTTTAAAAACATGGACGTTCGTATGTACTTTAAAGAACTGGGTGGGAAATGCAGGTCTGACTACTTTTCAGATAAGGGAAAAATGCCTTTCAAATTTCTCTTGGTTAGGAGTGGGGAGAAAATTGAAAACACTGACGTTTTCAAGGCCAGAGAGTTTGCTATAGCAAATTTCTTCCGTAGAATCAATCATTGAATCCAGCCTCCAGCACCACCGTGCTGAGAATAACCTAAGAAGTGGTCATCTGTCTCAGGAGGAAAGTTAATTCTACGTCTTTTCTTAGCTTCCTGTTGCCCTGTTAGTGACACTTGCTGGAAGTTTGACTTGGTGTCTGCTGTAAATCCCACTTGCTGTTGCCCATGTGTACTGTGTTCTGTATGGAGCTTAATTTAGAAATATTGCTCAGTACTTGAAATAGTCAACAGCTTTAAAAGACCCATGATGGTGGTCTTCACAGCGCTCCTGAAACTACTATGAGGGAAGGATGTGTGGCTCCTCTCATCACTATTGTAGTTATTCAGCTTTTCCTCTCCCCCCATAAGCCCAAACAAGACAGAATGGTCAGACACCCCCCGAGCGAGGCTTCTCTGAGAGGGGGTGTGGCTTCCCAGCTTGTATATGGCCTCTTTCTCCAGGGGTGTTTGTGCCAGCTTCACCTCTCCAGACCAGGTATTTAGTGGGAAATGTTGCCCAGGAATGGAAGTGCCTTGTCCCCCAGAGAGGCCTGACTCTTCTCGAACGTTCCCCACTCTGCAGCACCAGCTGGCATGATTGGGTGCTTTTGGCGGGTGCTGCACTTAGGGATCTTCATTGAGTCCTACGACAGTCCATTGAGACGGGCATGTCGCTGTCTTCGATCAGGACCGTGGCATCTGAAGGGCAGAGAGGGTCAGCACCTTCCTCCTGACCACTCAGCCAGGGAGGAGAGGAGCAGCATTCGTACCAGGAAGGCAAACCTCTCTCTGTAGAAATGTTGATGGTCAGTAGGTGCAGATCTTTTAGCCCCTACCATTGAGCCATCTATAATGTTGCCATCAGGGCTTCCCAGGGGGCTCAGTGCTAAAGAATCTGCCTGGAGTTCAGGAGACATGGGTTTGATCCCTTCCCAGAGGCAGATCCCACCTGCCTCAGAGCAACGAAGCCCAGGATCCACAGCTCCTGAAGCGTGTGCTCCACAATAAGAGGAGTCACAGCAATGAGAAGCCTGCCCAGCACAACGAAGAATAACCCCCTCTCACCACACCCAGAGAAAGCCCGAGCCACAGTGAAGACCCAGCACAGCCAAAAATACATAAATAAGTAAAATAATGTGGGGTCAGTAGGCAGCAGCACCTATCTATGGAGGAGAAAGCAAAAGGCCTTTCCCACTTCTGGATGGTTGGGAAATGATTCCTGGGCAGGACTCAGACCTAACATGTGCGTGTCTTTATGAGAGACAGTGTGGAAATGTGTTTATTGTCTCAGACTCTGTCTTTGTCTCACAAGCTAGACCTCACCTATTGCTGGAGGGACCTGCAGGGAGAAGACAGACTTCTCTATTTAGGTGTAACACCTTTCTTTGGGTATTCCTCCATCCATCCATTCATTCATTCTCAAATCCTTCTTGAGCATGTGTGATGAGCCAGCTCCCAAGCAGGCATCATGGTTATGGTCATGGACACGATTGCTGTTCCCTTGAATCTCCCCATCTACCTGAGAACTTAAACAGTCTTCGCCTTTGTCTCTCCAGGGGAGGATCCCGAGGCTCGGCGACTGCGGACAGTGAAGAACATTGCTGATCTGCGGCAGAATTTGGAGGAGACCATGTCCAGTTTACGGGGAACTCAGGTTACACACAGGTACCTGGAGCATGAATCACTTTCCTGAACCAGCTGGTAACTTGATTATCACATGGCTGCTCCTGCCATGATGTGTCCCCACCCTAGCCACATTCATGATTTAGTTAATAATGGAATAAATAACCTGATTGCCAATGTGCTGAAATTCACCGAGCATACCAGATGGCATGCAGAAGTGTCAGGAGCAAAAATCCATAGAGACGGATTCCTTCCCAAAGCAGAACGTTGCTCAATCCATTCCACAGAGGATGTGGCAGACCTGCTGCATTGAAATTTCCCTTTGCTTGCATTTTCCAAAATGATATTGGGCTGTTAAAATGAGCAGGTGAACTGTACTTGACCTGTGTGATAAAATGAATAACTCACATTCCTGCCCTCTCTTCTGATCCCCAGCACTCTGTAACGTTGTTAGTCATGCACGTGTATAAAACGCGTACAGAAATATTTATAAAAACGGAGGATCATGTTTAAACCACGGTTTCGTTGGATGAACTCTAGGATTACATTGGAAACATTTATCAGCTTCTTTTCATTGTTGAGCGAGAAGGTGAAGAGGATGCAGCCCTGGGCATCCTTCATGATTTGGGCAGAACCAGGTTTTACACTTTGTGTTTGGCCTTGATGATCAAGGTAAAGGCCTGGTTACCCCTGTGAGCTCCCAGGTCAGGGAGGTCTCCTTTGCTTCTCCGGTTTCAGTCTTTTTGATAAATGAACACAACAGGAGATTGCCAGGCTCCCCCTCTGCCTGCAACTTTGGCAGAACAGGGTTGAGCACCATGGGTTCTTAAAGGAGACCAGGGCCTAAACCTTGCGTGCATGTGAAGTTGTTTCTGTCTTGTCCGACTCTTTGCTACCCCACGGACTGTAGCCCACCAGGCTCCACTGTCCATGGAAAGAATACTGGAGTGGGTTGCCCTTCCTTCCTCCAGGAGATCTTCCTGACCAGGGATCAAATCCACGTCTCTATGTCTCCTGCATTGGCAGGCATGTTCTTTACCACTAGCGCCACCTGGGAAGCCCACCTAAACCTTGGGGGTTCCCAATATGAGAAAAGTCAGGCAGGTTGCTTCCCGGATCAGAGGGAAACAAAAGCAGTTGAGGCACCTAATTGGTTCCTTCCAAAGGTGAGTACCCTGGGGTGGGATGGTGCTGGCACGGAGCCAGGTGCTGGACTGCCTCTCTGTGATTAGATAAGTCACCTCCCTCTTTCCACCATCATCACTGAAGCAGACTTAATGTCGGTTCCAGCAGTTTGGTGGATTTCTTGGCTCAGTGATCGTGAGAGGAGGGAAACCCTCCATGCTTTCTTCTGCAGGAAAGACTCTCACTCTCTCTGCTTAGTTAACACATTATTTTTTTTTTTCTTTTTTTAGTAAATCATACATTTTATTTATTTATTTATTTTTTCACAACCATAGTGTATCTTTTTTTTTTTTTTTTTTTTTTTACATGTATTCCCCATCCCGGTCCCCCCTCCCACCTCCCTCTCCACCCAATCCCTCTGGGTCTTCCCAGTGCACCAGGCCCAAGCACTTGTCTCATGCACCCAACCTGGGCTGGTGATCTGTTTCACCCTAGATAATATACGTGTTTCGATGCTGTTCTCTTGAAACATCCCACCCTCGCCTTCTCCCAGAGTCCACAAGTCTGTTCTATACATAGGAGTCTCTTTTTCTGTTTTGCACATAGGGTTATCGTTACCATCTTTCTAAATTCCATATATATGTGTTAGTATACTGTAATGGTCTTTATCTTTCTGGCTTACTTCGCTCTGTATAATGGGCTCCAGTTTCATCATCTCATTAGAACTGATTCAAATGAATTCTTTTTAATGGCTGAGTAATATTCCATGGTGTATATGTACCACAGCTTCCTCATCCATTCGTCTGCTGATGGGCATCTAGGTTGCTTCCATGTCCTGGCTATTATAAACAGTGCTGCGATGAACATTGGGGTACACGTGTCTCTTTCAGATCTGGTAGTTAACACATTATTGACTGAGGGATTTTTGCAGAAACTAGCACCTGTGGCCAGCGATTTGCTCCATCAGTGAATATCGAAATACTCCCGTCAATAACATTTGGGTAACAAAAGACGTATTAATACCTCTCTGGTCAATAAGTTGTTAAGAGACCCCCGTGTTTCTCATCTTGATGGTGTGGCAAGACCTGGGATGAGCTCAGTCCTCTGGCAGATTCAGACCCAGCTAGTTTCATGCGTCACCAGCCCAGGCATTCATCTTTCATTTCTGGTCTTTTGCTCCCAAAGTTTAGTTGTCATTTTGGACAAAATGGGGGAGAAGCAAATGTGTGGAGGAAATGCATGTTACGGAGTGAGAAAGTCAGGACTCTCCTCACCTGCTTGGTCTGGAGAGAGCTGAGGATGTGAAATGTCTGAGGACCCCGAGGGAGGATGGGTGCCTCCTGCCTTTAGGAAGGAAGAGATGAAAGGCAGCATCCAAGGACAAGCAGGCAGGCGCTATGTCCCATCGTTACCAGTCCAGCGTTTTCTACTTCCCTTCCTGGCTTACACAGAAGACGACTTAAGATCATTTCTTTAAAGTAACTGGGGGTCTGCCCTGGTGGTTCAGTGGCTAAGACTCCATGCTGCCAATGCAGGGGTCTCAGGTTCGATCCCTGGTCAGGAAACTAGATTCCTCATGGTGCAACTAAAGATCCCACATGCTGCAGCTGAGACTCGGCACCGGCAAATAAGTAAACAAAAGTGAATATTAAAAACTGAACTAACTGGTCGTGGGTATCTTGTACCATGTTTTAGGGGAAAAGTCTCCACTGGGCTTTTCACAATGTCACTTGGACATGCAGCTTCATTTTTTCATTTGTAACAGCAGAACTGCACTAGGTGGTATGTTGGTACCTTATTTTGTGATCCTGTTCTGTATACGGGAAGTATTTCATAGTTCTAAAAAAGAAATTAAAGAGGATGTAAACTGCAAAGACCACTGGGCCCATCGGGGTCTAACACAAGGCCGGTTTTCTGTCTCTAGCACGTTGGAAACCACGTTTGACACCAACGTCACCACGGAGATCAGCGGGCGCAGTATCCTCAGCTTGACGGGCAGGCCCACTCCCCTGGCTTGGAGGCTCGGCCAGTCCAGCCCCCGGCTGCAGGCGGGAGACGCCCCCTCAATGGGCAACGGGTACCCTCCCCGAGCCAACGCCAGCCGCTTCATCAACACAGAGTCAGGCCGCTACGTGTACTCTGCCCCCCTGCGGAGGCAGCTGGCCTCCAGGGGCAGCAGCGTCTGCCACGTGGATGTCTCAGACAAGGCGGGAGACGAGATGGACCTGGAGGCCATCAGCATGGACGCGCCTGGCTACATGAGCGACGGGGACGTGCTGAGCAAGAACATGCGGGCGGATGACATCACCAGCGGGTGAGTACCTGCGCCTTCTGGAGCAGGGGCACGGCCCCTGCCTTCTCTTCTGCGGGATGTCCTGCCATTCTCTGGAGTGAGGTGTTCATCACTCAGTCGTGTCTGACTCTTTGCGACCCCATGGACTGTAACCCGCCAGGCTCCTCTGTCTGTGGAATTCTCCAGGCAAGAGTACTAGAGTGGGTTGCCATTTCCTTCTCCAGGGGATCTTTCTGATGCAGGGATCGAACCCGGGTCTCCTGCACTGCAGGCAGATTCCTTACCGTCTGAGCCCCCAGGAAAGCCCAATGTTCTCTGGGGGAGAGCAATGTCCTGTCTGTGTCGAAGGCCATGTGCTGTGGAGGGGAGCCTTCTGGGCCGAGAGACACAGACCTGGGCTACAGTCCAGGCCTGGCGGTAACTCGCTGGGCAGTCCCAGCCAGGCTCCACCGGCAGCCAGAGTGACACTTGACAGCGAACCGTACTGTGTCAGCCCTTTACCAAACCTTATGGGTAGAATCCAGATCCCTGAGCCTGGCGTATCTGGCCCTTACCTGCTCCCTAGAGCTGCTTGTTCTCCCTTCTTCTGCTGCTGCAGCTGGTTTTTGTGTTCTGGCTCATCAAGTCTTCCCTACCTCAGGGTCTTTGCACTGTTTCTCTGGGTCTTCCTTGACCCTTCAACTTGAAGTCCTGTATGTGACCTGTCCCAGGCCTATTCTCCATCACTGTGTTTATACTCATTTGGAAGCTTATCAGTGTTAAAAATTATCCTGGGTGTGTGTTACTCACTCACTCGTTTCTGATTCTTTGCGACCCATGGGGTGTAGCCCACCAGGCTCCTTCGTTCATGTGATTATTCTGAGGATAGGTTTGTATTTTACTGTCTGTCCACCTGCTCCTGCTTACAGAGGTAAGTGACGTGATTCAGCAGGACAATCCGGCTTGCCCACCACTGAATCCCCAGTGCCTTGTACATGTAGGAGTGTATAAACTTTGCTGAACTGGTGAACACGCGGCTGCATGGATGAAGAAGCAAGCCCAACCTCTCTGTAACATGTGAAGATAAGGGGAGCGATGCGATGATGTCTGAGCCGGGCTGTGACCCTGTGTGGCCCGAGGCTTGGCTTCCTGCATTTGACCCGCTTACAGATCCCCGTGGAAGCTGAACAAGCATCCATTTACCCCACTTGCCTGTGATCCCTTCATCTGTTAACCCGGCTTGCCCAGAAGTCCTTCAAGATCTTTTCCTCCTCTTAACATTCTAATAGGTAAAATTACAGATAATAAAAATCAGGCATGATGATCCTGCCATTCATTTTCCTGAACATAGTGATCGAGAGCCCCGTGGGTGAGACAGTATTTTCTTAATAATAGCTCACTCTCCCACTATGTGCCAAGCGTTGTGCTAGGTGCTTTATATATATTATCTTCTTCCCTCACAGCAATCCTTTGAAGTAGGTAATATCATAAATCCCAATCTTATGGAGGAGTAAACTGAAGCTCAGGAAGGTTAAATCACTTGCCCAAGTTGAATAGTTAAGAGGCAGGGCTCAGGGCTAGTGCCTGAACGCAGCGCCTTAACCAGTGTCCCCACCCATCGTCTCCAGGATTTCATTGCTGCGTTGAAATAGCACAGCTTCTTGAGTTTATTTCAAAATTGATTTCCTTAGTTCTACCCATCTGTCCAGAAGTGTTCTTTTATTTAAAGCTTAGAGATAGAGGTACTTTGGCCTTCTGCCTGTTACTTTTAGAACCATCCCATGGTGAAATCTTGGAAGACAGGAGCCACCAAACCCTCATAGTGTAACAACTTTCTGCTGCCCTCATGGCTGGGAAAGTTAATGGTCTGGTAAATCAAGTGATTCCATTAACTTAGAGCATCACTTTGTGTCTCTAGTTTTCCATGAACATGAAAACAGTGCGTGTATGCATGCTAAGTCACTTCAGTCGTGTCCAACTTCAATGCTATGGACTGTAGCCCTCCAGGCTCCTCTGTCCATGGGATTTTTCAGACAAGAATACGAGAGTGTGTTGCCAGGCCCTCGTCCAGGGGGATCTTCCCAACCCAGGGATTGACCCATGTCTGTTTTGTCTCGTGTGTTGGCAGGTGAGTTCTTTACCACTAGCGCCACCTAGGAATAGCCCGTGAAAACAGTAACATATGCGTATTACTAAAATTGCATATAACATAATCTTTTAAATTAGTTTAATAATTTATAATTAATTTTTTATTAAAATTAAAATAATTTATAATTAAATTTAATAATTAAATTTATTTAATACTTATTTTAAATGTTATTATTTAGAAGACCATTAGTATTCAGCATGGTGTCAAGGTTATCTTTATCACTTCCCACTGTGATATACAACCAAACATTTTGGGATTATTTTGAGATTTTCTTATTTTGTAAGAAACATTTATTCTCTTGCCAGGTCAGTCTTTTAATAAATGAAGGTGTGTTTATTTTCATGTACTACCAACAGTTTCCACAAGGTGGCGACATTGAAACACCCTAAACTGAACCTTAGTGATGTTACAGTGAGACATTCCTAGTCTCTTTAGCTATTCAAACCAGAGCCCTTACCCCTGCTAAAAAGCACAAATGTTTACATTTCACTTCCTGCTTTGGGAAGCTTACATTTTTAGCAAGTGAGATAGCACTTAGAGCACGTGTCGATAAAAGTGTGGAAAATGTAAGCAAACCACCCAATTATTGAAATTGGAGCACTCTGCTCTGTTTCCAACTCCCTCCCCGTGTGTTCCCCCCCCACTCCAGTTACTTTCAATGTAGAAACTTACCTGCACAGTGAAGAGAGGCAGCCCAGATGGCATCTAACACTCCTCCTGGGAGTGACATTCTGGAGCACTGGTTAAGTACAACTCCACTCTCTGGAAGTGCATGTCAGTTTCTGCTTTGAGGTTCAGTCACCGGCTTGCCTTTATATGCAGAGTTCAGGGCACACCATTTAACGTCCTTTGCACTCAGTTCTTTTTCCTTTTATAAACACGACAAGGTTGTAGCTATTGAAGGACTGGTCCTTTAGTCTTAGTTAAGAATCTGCCCCGTAAGTCATATTGCTGCGGCATTGGAGTAGTGGAAGAAAACAGACAAATATCAGATAAGGTTGAATCCCGCCCTGCCACTACTGTGCTCTGTGACATTTAAGCATGTTATTTAACTTCCCGAAGCCTTGAAGCACTACAATTAATTTGGTTTTTAACCTTCTACAGTTAGATTTCTCTTTGAGGTTTTATCTAATTAATGGCAGACATCTGATGAAGACACGCAGTTTCAGGCAATGTTCAGATGTCTTATCAACCTCAAAGATCCCAGCACTTGGGAACAATGAACTGATTACAGTTTTCATCGAGATGTTTGTTTGACTTGGTGGAAGCAGCCTTGATGTATGAAGCTGCTGCTGCTGCTAAGTCGCTTCAGTCGTGTCCGACTCTGTGCGACCCCATGGACGGCAGCCCACCAGGCTCCCCCGTCCCTGGGATTCTCCAGGCAAGAACACTGGAGTGGGTTGCCATTTCCTTCTCCAATGCATGAAAGTGAAAAGTGAAAGTGAAGTCGCTCAGTCGTGTCCGACCCTTAGCGACCCCATGGACTGCAGCCTACCAGGCTCCTCCGTCCATGGGATTTTCCAGGCAAGAGCACTGGAGTGGGGTGCCATTGCCTTCTCCCCTTGATGTATGAGGATTGCATAAATCAGTATGGAGCCTCTTTGAGGAAAGTTCTTGTAAACGTTTACAGCAAGCTTGTTCAGTAAGACTGATGTGGAAGTAAATTCTAGTTCCGGAAAGCCCATGGCCTTTGTTTTAAAACGACGCTGGGCCTCAGCTTGGTCGCATAGCTGTTTCGCTGTGCCTCCAGCGCCTGTTGCTCCTGGATATGAGCGCATGTGCGCCTCATGCACCGTTAGGTTCTCCTGAAGGTGGGACTGGCATTACTTGATTTCTATGGAGTTTAGCTTAGGAACTAATGGCACACGCCTTTGGTCTCCATGTGTGTACTTATTCAACCCTTCTATCGCACTTAGCATGTGCCAAGCATGTCTGAGTACTTTACAAGAAATCGCCTGGCCTCACCACTTCATTGTATTAGACTGATAAATTGGATTTCAGCTGTAGCTAGTGGAAAAGGAGTTAAAGTAGCAGACGTAGATGTCTCCTACTAAGATTGGATCTGTGAAGTCGATCCGTGTGCTCATCTTCCAAAACTTCAGAGCACCATATGGTATAGAGTGACATTAAAGGGACAGACTTAGAGTCCATATGTTTGGAAAGATTTTTTTTTTTTCTTTTCAAAGGAGGCACTGAGTTGTTGCAATAATGTTCCATACTACGAATATACCTCCCTTCCTAGGCGGGGGAAGGTGGGGGAGACCATTTAAATTTAGCATCAGAAATTTCTCTGAGAGCCTTTGATGGCTTCCCATTGCCTGTGGAAACAAATGTCAGCTTCTTCACAGGGAGGCTGCTTATGGCCTCTCCCTCAGCCGCCCTCCCAGCCTCCGCCCTGGCCATGTCCCTCCTCAGCGCCGTTGATTTGTGCCATCTGTTACCCAGGGTCATTTCCTGCATTCGCAACGCGTTGTGCCATAGGACCTGCCTCTGTCTCCCTGTTACTTCTTTCCCCTGAGGCTTATCTAACATTAAAAAAAAACCTCCTCTGTGATGCCCTCCTAGATTCCCTCAGTCAGAGTTAGCTCTGTCTCATTTCTGGTGCCCTCAATCCACACCCGAGCTGGTGTGTGAACCTTTTGCTTGGCACAGGAAGTGTTTGAGGGAGACTCTGTTGAGGAAAGAGTGTGGTCTTAAGAGGCAGGCAGATTTGAGATTTAATCTTGCCTCTGCCAAATGAGGGCTTCCCTCATAGCTCAACTGGTAAAGAATCTGCCTGCAAGGCAGGAGACCCTGGTTTGATTCCTGGGTCAGAAAGTTGCCCCGGAGAAGGGATAGGCTACCCACTCCAATATTCTTGGCCTTCCCTTGTGGCTCAGCTGGTAAAGAATCC